AATAATAATAATAATAATAATAATAATAATAATAATAATAATAATAAAAGAAAAAAGCGGAATCGGAACTCAAAACCTCGCGATTACTGTAACTATTAGTAGGATACATAAAGGCCTTCGCACAATAAAAAATATAAAGAATAAGGAACAGATATTAGCGATTAGAAATAAAAAAATCAGGAATAAAACTGGTATAACATTAATACATGGCTTCCAATAGGTTAAAAACTTTTTGTCTGTGTTATTCCCTGTTTCCGTTGCCTATATTTTTCATCGTGCATCCAACTTTATTCTTGATTCTTTAGTCCTAATCGCTAATATATGTTCCTTATATTTTTCATTGTGCGGAGGCTTTAAGATCTCTTGTCTCCCTCACACAGTACAAGTGCGCGCTCGCCGCCACTACCTCCCCGATAGTAACAACTCTCGCGGTAGCAATCAGAACTAGAAAACAGGACCGCTTAGCGGACCTTCCCCCACCACTAAAAAAGCGGGGAGTTATCCAATGTATATACAACCGTATTCTCGACAGTAGCAAAATTGCTCCGGTTCACGAGGTTGTACACCGCCGTGCATCCGTTAAGTTTTTGTATTCCGGTTCACGCGGCTCTAAAAAACACCGTCGTGCACACGAGTCAACTGCTCGTTTAGAGCATCGCTCATTGTCTCGCGCCGTTTGAGAGTCCGCAGCAATTCTCCTTCGCCGACGCGAGTGAAGAACACCGCGTCTAAGTCGCGCCGCGCCTCGCCATTGTATTGTACGTTCGATCGTCTCGATCGCTTCGAAACACGGGGACTCGTTTTGCGCACTGCGCTACGACCAAGTGCGACTGCAGTGTAACGCCTTTAGTGCGTTTAAAAACAGTGCAATCCAAACGTGCGCTGCCGACTTGCCATCCGCCTCCGCGATCGGCCGAACATATTCGCGTCGCGGATAATCTGTGCGCCACGCCATCCGCTGATCACGTGCGCGCCAAGTGTCGCGCTCACACATACGAGTGCATTCACGCAAACTGTAAAATAACGCTCACTTATTAAAGACTTTGTGAATCCGACCATCAAGTGTCCGTCTTCTAATTTTGCACCTCGAATCCATGTCGGGGTTGACCCGGCACATTACTCCAATTGGCGATCCGGAGTTACGCCCGGAAAGCAATAATTCGCCAACAATATTGTAATAAAGTTGATAGTACGTTTAAATTTTTATCTCAAAAACATTACAGGAATGATAGAAAAATCTTAGCGCAATGTTATTTGCAACGTTATGGCACTCCCATTTCAACATTACTGAAATTTCGGAATTGTGGTCAAAGTATGTTCATAATGATGTTCTATACAACATTAAAAACTACATATTTAACAACATTACAAGTTCTAGAATATCGTTGCAATAACATTGTAATAATAATTTTTTGCTTACTGGGTGTATTCATATGCACTCCCAGTAAGCAAGGAACATTAAATTAACGTTTAAAAATATTGACTTTATGTGTATTTTTTAAACGTTTTTTAATAATATTATACACATATTTAAAAAATATTATTTCGTAATATGATTTTTCTGAATGTTGTTAAAATATTTTAAAAACGTTACAGAAAATATTTTTCAAATGTTACTCTGACATTTATTTGAGATTAATGCAACAGTTCAAAATTCCTTGTAATTTGGACTTGGAAATAACGTTGGTAGTATATTAATTTTCTGTTGTTAGAATGTTATTGTTTTATATTGTGCCCAACGCTCATCGCGACAGCCATGATGCGTACATTTACGTATGATGCGTGAGTGCGTATACACACGTGTGGATCGAGCAGTGCGGAGTGCTCTTTATTTACAGTATATTTATATATAAGTAACTATTATATTCTAAAAGTTGTATATTAATAATAAGAACTCAATTAACCATATGTGCTATGAATAGTAGCTGATATGATGATCTATATAACCTATAATTTAGGTTAACTACAAATAACGTTCTTTGGGTATCGGTAGAAACTATATAGTGGAATTAATTTGCTATTTTCTTGCAATTTACTGCCGATTATTTTCAGCTGTTTGAGTGCGTCGAGATCATGAGCAAACGCACGCTTGTTGCGACAGCCAATCGGAAGCAGTAATAGTTCTGGAGACTGTAGTCGCATTATCTTACATATACGTATGATGTGTGAGTGTGTCATATATACGTACGTTTGTGCTTGTGCGCTTGTGCGCTGTCGAGCGCTTTTAATTGTATACAACATTTTTATATGGGTAAGTAATTATTATATTCTAAATCTTGCATATTAATGATAAGAACCCTGCAATTATCTAATGTGCTGTAAATAGGTAGCTGGTGATTCAAGATCTATTTTTCGACCTATATAAGAGAGAAATTTGCAGAAGAAAAAAAATATACCAAAGTATTAATAAGGATCGAACATATTCTTGATGTACTCGGGCCGCGAGGCTGAGCAATATTCTAAGGAAAGTATTGTACAAGATACAAAGATTGGACAATATCTCATCCCTTTATCTTCTATTGACAATTTGAAGATATGCTAAAAACTGATCAAGAAGCTTTCATGCAAGTTGTAAGTAAAGCTGCTTATCACAATTATAATTAATTCTATAAACATTTACAAATAACATTCCCGGTTAGTATAATAGTTACATAATCGTAGTAGATATAAATTTACACAATAAAATCTGCAGACTTTGAAAATTTAAGAATTAAGAGAAAAGACTGTAAGAAATATCTCCTCTCCCTCCCTCTCTCTCTCCCTTTTTCTCCCTTTCTCTCCAAGAGTAGTAAATATAATATTTGCAATTTAGAGTCTGTTTATGTTCTAAACTCAGAGTTACAAACTTACTCTATGTCTTACATGATACGCGCACGCTATATAGATTAACCTTTTACGATTGGTGGAAATATAAATCACTAGCATGAGACTTTCACTTCTATATATTTTTATGTTTCCGGACGTTGCTTCCGCCTTCTTCTTGCAAGACTTTTCGTTATTTTCCGTTGAACGTGCAAAACAGCGACCTATTGTATTATCTTTCATCGTAATAAATCAGTTGGAAAAAATAAACTCGATTATTCTGCGCCATCAGAGTCGACAAAGAGATCACCAGGACTTGTAATTTTTACCGATTTTTTGGTATTATTTTCAATGTAGTGCCTATAGCAAAGATCTCGGCAAAGATAGTAATTGCGCATTATCTGTATCTACTATGTTTATAGTTATTTTGATTGTGGCGTAACATACAGACAAAATCATCCAAACGTCATATCAAATAAGTACTAACGCATTCATACTACATTGTTCAAGTCTTTTATGCATATATGGATCTTCTATATATAAATGTGTGTTGCTTTGTTTTACCATATTTAGCAGAAAGCTTAAGTATTTATATATAAAAATCTTCTTGCAAACTTTTCATATATTTTTAAGCTTTTAAATTTAATGGAAATGTTACAGTAATATTTTTTTACAATTTTCTTTAACGGAGCAAACATACTGATAATATATAAACAATTTTTGTAACAAATAAATATTTACACTGAAAGCTCGAGATCTTTACTTTGAAATTTTTAAATCATTTTTGTAATATATTGAGCAAATGCTCTAATTGATTTACACCTATTTTTATTATGTAAAAGCATTTGTAATTCTATGCAACCATTACGATATATGTAAACTTTCTAAAAGAAGGTAGAATTTTGTCGGTAAAGTTTTCAAATATGGTATGTCCTTCAAAAATCAAAATGTATTTGTATTAATCTCCATAATGTATTCAACTGTATATTTTACGTATAAAACGATCAAATAGAATCTTGAGGAGGAGCACTCAATGCGTTCAAAACCAAAAATGGTTACTCTGACTCTTAATCTTACAAACTTATATCTATAATATATGTCCTTTAATATGTTCTATAATATCCTATAATATGTGTTATTATATTTTAAAAGTCTTCTGAATTATTTTCCTTGCAATTTATAATAATAAACTGCATTATATAGAATTACAAGTATAAATTTTTCAGGTGAACAAGGTTATGTTAATTGGAGGGAAACATGAAAAGAATTTTATTAAAAGAAGTTTGAGGGCTACATTTTCTGATGACTTAGCCTCCATGTGTTCATGAACTGGCCAAAAAAATAATTATAAAATTGGAGATACGCACACACAATTCTGAGCATTAAAAGTAAGTAATTTTTTAAGAAATGTATATATTACTTGCAGTATTAAATGCTATGTTTTATGTCTCAGAATTTATTAAAATTGTCTCCTTATTTTTTGTAGCAATCATCGTTAAAAAGCAGGACACACATACACGTTAAAAATTCTTACGAAATAAAAGAAAAATATATATATCCATAAACTAATATTTTTGATCGATTTAGTATATATGTAAACTATTCCGGAAACTTTTGTGTTATTTCAATAATTATCATAAGTTTTAATTGCCGTTAAATTAACATTATTTATTTCTTTCATCTAACAATAAACTGTATTGAATTTTTCTTATTTCAGAAGCTTTTAGAGCAATATTCCCTCGGAATACAGAAAAAGATTTTCAATACTTTGTAATGGAGTGGTTCAGATTCGCAAACGTCCGTAAGGAAAAAAAAACATTAAAAAGGTAATGTAATGTATTTCGGTATATACTCTCTATAAAATAAAATTATTATAGTTTGCCGCGTTATAATTTATAAGTAACTTTTTCACTAATTTAATTCTACTTTTATTTTTCAGGAAGTGATAAATATATTATCTTACTTGCGTGGCTCCGCGCGAGTGATTATTATAGTAACAAATTTTTTTATTTGAAAGATGAGTTTTATCCCAAAACCTTACGCTAGGATCAGTGATCTTCACCAAAAATATTATTGTGATAAACTGAAAACTGTAATATATGGTATATATTATTTTTATATTGTGACGTGACAAGTCGCGTCTCCTTCCCGGACGGGCTCGGCCGAGGGGAATTCGGGGATGCCTCCTCGTTAGAGCGAGAGGAGGGCGCTTGCGTATAGTAATTGGTCTAATTAGGTATTAAGTTTTTAAGGGATCGCCGGTGGTGACCGGACTTCAGCTGTAACGGCCGGGGGCCGCGACGAGGAAGGGCAGAGGATTAAAGAGACGGCCAGGGGACATGGCTGGAAGTCGGATCGCCCGGACCTCCCCGCAAGCGCATGGGCGTCGCCGGCCGGAATTCACCCCGCACTCGGTCGTAACAGCGGCAGTATATCGATCAGGAGGACCCCAGATCACCCACGAGCGAAATGCCAGTGGCACAAGGGTGCAGAGGAGCGGCCCAGGGAAAGGTACCGCCCTGGGGCCGTCACCCCGAGGGGGATGCCGGCAGACGGGGCCGAGGCCCGGCCAGCCTGACCCCGAACGCCGACCCGATCATCGCGGCCCGGACAGCCGGGTGAATCGAAAAGCCCGCGCCGAATCGGAGGTGATTGCAGCGGCGTCGCCGGAAAGGGAGGCGCGCGAGAAGCTGAGGCGCCGACGAAAGCGCCCTGGAATGGAGTGGCGCCCCCGGAAGGAGCGGCGCACGTGCGGCCTAGGCGCAGGAAGCGCTAGGATCGGCAATCCGGTCGAGCGACACGCCACAGCGCAGGCGCGGGGAACCGGCGCGATCCCGGCAGGCTATCGTTTCCGTCACTGTCGTGCCGGCTAACGAGCGAGGAGCATCTCCTGCATTTCGAGCTGCCCGGACTACCGGAGGGACGACAACGATTGTAAGGTCACCACTCTGGCGTTCCCGCGTTAAGAGAAGAGGGTTCGCTCGAGGCATCGGCCCGTGGCACACGTTGGTTACCGGAGTTACGCAGGATACCTGTGTACCGCGTTAGAGCGTGCGATACCTTGCGCTCGCCTTGAAGTAGAGTCGTGTGGAAAAAGTGCCAGGGCCTTGCCGAGAGTGAGCTCTCGAATGCGTAGAGACCATTTGCGCCCTCCCCGCGAGCACCGCCACGGCCGACAGTCGCGTGGCGTTGGGATGTGTGAATCGAAATAATCGTGTCGCGTTTATGTAGCGTTTCGTCAAATTAATGTAAATAATCGTATCGCGTTATTCGTGATTGTGTCGCGTTTCATTGTGCTAGAGTTTATGTCCGTAATCGTATCGCGTTTTGGCCATATTATTTGAGCTCGTAATCGTGTCGCGTCCTGGCCATATTAACGAGAGTGATAATGAGAGTGAGGTCTTGCGTGGCGATAACGGGAGCGAGTTGTGCGGGTAACGGCGAGCCGCGAGTGGTCATGTAATTTGAAGGGCACTCGCCCTCGTATTTGAGTAACGCATCCGGGCCCTCGAGGACAGCGAATATTGGTTTGGCGGGACGAAGAGATCGACGGGATCGGTGCGGGGCCGCGGAATCTCCGTGCTTGCGAGAGAATTCGGGATTCGCGTGGCAAGCCGCGGGATCGTCCGCGATACAAGTCCTTATTTCGTGTTCGGGGGCAATCGCCGGCCAGCGTGGTCGACTCGGCGAGATCGCCCATACTTTTTGCGTCGCGCGGAATCGAAGTGGCCCGGGTGTGCGTTGAAGGAGCTGCGGAGGGTGCGGCGAGCGATTCGTCGGCCTCGTGGCGTAAGTTCATTGTGTTGAAGCCAGGTACCGCGATACCTGAATCGTCCTTATTTCTGTTAAGCTTTCGTGTGTCCGTCTGCGTTTATCTGTTGCGTTGAGAACTTCGCGTGCATTAGTCTACGGTGTTTCATGGTCGACATTACTGCGTGTCCTTATTGCGTATGCGGCATTCGTGCGTCCGCCTCGCTTGCATTGTTGCGGTAATACGAGACTCAGATCGATTATACATCTTGATACTGCCTGACTAAATATATATTTTGTTATTATTATTTATTTTCTTGTGAGTGTGATTAATTGTGTGACGCCTCTCTCCGAATTCCCTGAAAGAGCCCTACGCCCTGAGGTATTGCCGGGAATATCGCGTCGGACATATTAGAGTACGGTGGTGCGATCCGTCGCACCTGGCGCCCAATCTTTTGGTGTCGGAATTAGTTGTGCGTGCTGCCAGTCCTCGATAGCCCTCCACCGGATTGCGAGACCGGGGGAAAAAGCGTCGCAATATAAATAAAACTTTTTTATGATAAGTGAATTATTCCCTAATGCAGATTGGTATTATATAACAGGCCTGGGCAACTTCGAGCTCCGGAGCCACGACACTCCCCTACTTTCCGTGGATAGAAAAGAAGTGTCGTGGTTCTGGAGCTCAAAGTTGTCCAAGCCTGGTCTATAAAAAAGCAATCTAAATAATAATTAGACAATAAATATTGAGATATTTTATTACTATTGCATATTTATTGAAAACATGTTGCCTGTAATAGAAATAAAACATCAATAAGAACTTTAATTAAATGTTAGAATTAACATTACGGTAATCTTAATATAATATTGTAATAAAGTTGACAGTACGTTTAAATTTTTATCTCAAAAACATTACAGGAATGATAGAAAAACCTTAGCGCAATGTTATTTGCAACGTTATGGCACTTCCATTTCAACATTACTGAAATTTCGGAATCGTGGTCAAAGTATGTTCATAATGATGTTCTTTACAACATTAAGAACTACACATTTAACAACATTACAAGTTCTAGAATATCGTTGCAATAACATTGTAATAATGGTTTTTTGCTTACTGGGCTGTATTAAAGTTCTGTCTAGTTATAAATCATGTGCTCTTTACTGTCGTAAAAACCATCAGGTTATGAGCCCAGTGCCACGTGTTGAGTGCATGATATAAAATTAAAGACGGAACAAGTTTAAGTGCAAAGAAAATAAAATGTGCGCCGCGACTAATACACTGGGAGCGCTGGAGAGCGTCGATAAACTGAAGGATGCCGAAGAATATCCACTGTGGAAATTTCAAATCAAAATCTACCTGGAGGCAGCAGATCTTCTGGACATCGTACAGTCGGAGCCAAAAGCGGCACAGTCAGAATCAACGGAATGGAGGAAGAAAGATGCCAAAGCGAAACGAATAATCGTAAGCACTCTAGAAAACCAATCACCGATACATATAGTTGCGTGCATTACGAGTTATGAAATGTGGCAAAAGCTAAAAGGAATTTATGAAAGAGATTCACAGCATCAGAAATGCGCTCTGATGCAAGAATTCTTCGAATATAAAAAGAAAAGTAACATTGATATGGTCACATACATAACAGAGTTAAAAAATCTTGCCTTTAAACTTAAAAGTCTAAGAGAAGAAATAAATGATACCATGATCATGTCTAAAATCTTGACAGTTGTACAGAAAATTATAGATTTTTTACAAGCGCATGGGAATTGACACCCGCTGGAGAGAGGACAGTGGAGAATCTGACAGCGAGACTTCTAGCGGAGGAGGCAAGGAACCGATCGGACAAAGAAGAAGAAGTGGCATTTAAGGCAGAAGAGAGGAAATGCTACAAATGCAACATGAAGGGTTATGTAGCGCACGCATGTAAAAAGGTAGACAATACTAAGAAACATGACGTTAAATGTTTTAATTGTCATAAAATCGGCCACATGGCAAAAGATTGCAGAAGAGATTCTTGTAAAATATGTAAAAAGACTAACCACTCGGAAAAAGACTGCTTTTTTAGAAATAAGACAAAAGGTGACCCGGAGAAAGACGAAAAGAATAAAATAGCCTTTCTAACAAGCAATGAAGAAACGAAAGATTGCTGGATTGTCGACTCAGGATCAACGTCGCACATGACGAACAATTCAACCAAGTTGAGAGAAGGACACAAAATAACACACACGACAAAGGTCGGAGTGGCAAACAAGGAAGGAAACATGGTAGCGAGGAAGACTGGAACGGTCGACCTAAGAAACTGTGAGTTAAACAACGTACTATATATACCAGATTTAAGAAAAAATCTCTTGTCTGTTGGCGCAATAACACAAAAAGGAGTGTTGTGTCCCTTTTTGGGTACACTAAGATTCGATCGTTCCAAGGAGGAGGCGGGATGGGTGACTGATAGAACACTCTTCGATAAACGGCACTTCGAATAAAGAATACTTTAATTGAATCTGCTTTACAGTTATTGCGTACAAGAATGCCCGTTACTGATCTGCTCCCTGACTCCGATTGCCCTCTCGTCTCCTGTTGTCGCTTCCTTTTGAATCCTCGTCCTGTCCTTCGATATCGCTGAGTTGCTCGATCGTATGTAGGCCGATCGCGCAACTCATCTTTTGCTGATTCGGCGTTGTGTAATTCTTTCGGGCTTTCGCGGTCGCGTTCCCTATTGTTCTTCGCGGTCTTTATTCTTAATACTATTTATTGTTATATTAATTGGGGCCGCAACATCCCTCCCCCTTTGAGAGAAGGAAACTACGGTCTGTAGTTTTCGCTACAATTTTTCGCTGCTTATCCTATTTCTATTTCTATTAGGGTGGTTTATTTTCTTTATTTGTTTCTGAGGTTACATTCTTCTTATTTTCTAGTATAGTATCGCTGAGTCGCCCTGTACGTGCGGTCGGGCGCTTGCTCGTTTCTTATGTCTTTTTATTACATAGATGATTATTCCTACTATGCTTAATATAATTATTAACGTAAGTGTCGATCCTACGGGATATATGACATAGGGATTTTTTATTAGGGTGTCTTGGGATTTTTCCAATTCTTTATTTATGTCGCTTAGTTCTAGACTTAATTCCATTAATTCGTTCGGATTCCTAATTACAGGTTCTAATCTAATTTCTTTTTTTACTTGTTCGTTAATATTTTTATTTTTGTTTGTTAGCGTTAGGTTAAAATCTGCTAAGTGCATTTCTATTTGTCTCATAGTCGTTTGTCTTTTTGTTTTTATAATAATGTCGGGTGTGGTTAGTTTACAATTTTTGATTATACTTAGTTTCCCTGTTTTTTTTATTTCTA